TGGTATAATGTTGTAATATAAAGTAGTCAACACTGGTGATATAACATTGTAATATAAAGTAGTCAACATTGTTGGTATAATGTTGTAATATAAAGTAGTCAACACTGGTGATATAACATTGTAATATAAAGTAGTCAACATTGTTGGTATAATGTTGTAATATAAAGTAGTCAACACTGGTGATATAACATTGTAATATAAAGTAGTCAACACTGGTGATATAATGTTGTAATATAAAGTAGTCAACACTGGTGATATAGCATTGTAATATAAAGTAGTCAACATTGTTGGTATAATGTTGTAATATAAAGTAGTCAACACTGGTGATATAACATTGTAATATAAAGTAGCTAATCGCCACTGGTATAAAGTTATGATATATAATAATCTACTCAGTCGCCACTCGTTGCTCCAGATAAGTTGTTTACAAAATAATTATCCTACTTCAAGGAATAAACTGAAGTAGTGAACACATGAATATCTCGTTGCTCCAGATAAGCTGTTTACAAAATAATTATCCTACTTCAAGGAATAAACTGAAGTGGTGAACACATGAATAACTCGTTGCTGAAAACCTGCATAATTTTGGTTTTTAGTGACTTTTTTTTTCATCATCCAACAGTTTATATTTTTGGTGCTGTTTTATTGTATTTTACTGGATGCTTGCTCTTCTTCCTTCTATGTTAACGTAACATAGTGTTTAGGGACAACAAATTACACGATGGTCCGTTTCGGCTGTCCCATTCTCTAAACTAAACTAAAAATATTGAATAAATAAATTGAAAATAAATAAAAATCTTAAAGTCAGTCCTTATCATTCATATAGTTATCAAGCTTTCTCTTAAACTCACTTAAGTTTACTGCTTCCAAAACATTCGAAGAGAAACGATTCCAGAGACCAACTACCTGAAGCAATTACAGTGCAAGTTCTATACATTAAGTGTTTTGTTGTCGTTAAAATTTCATTAGTATAATTTTCAGTTCAACAGTAACCCCAAACTGCAAGTAAATGTCAATTATATAACTTGTCAGCCAGTATACGGTGAGAGCAATCTCCCATACATTGTGCTTGTTTTATTACCAATACAGGTTGATTTCTTTTCTTTTTGAAGTGGCAGATATGCACGTATACGTGAATGGTGTATGTACCACCAAATACCGTGCATATTTGGTATGCACAACTTGTATTTCTAATGTGTTTGTGTATTCCTTACAATATTTTGTATATCATTTTTCTTTCAGTATAAACATCAAAAACTTCATTATATTACATCGTTACCAGTAGTCAGCGCTCCAGATAAGAAGCACGCAAACGTAAATAAGCATCTGTTTACACAAAAGAAAATAAGTTAAACAACTACACATTGAATATGATGTGTATTTGTTTAATTCCTAGAGTTTTTGTTTTTCTGTTGCTGGTTTTTTCGAGATTCACAATTAAACATGACATGTTTTTCTGTAATTTTAATGTTTTGTTTTAAAAATTAGTACAAGTACTAGTGATGTATTTATTAACTTGTGTTTTATTTTCTTTGTTTTTAGTACGTTGCATGAAAGAAGAGTAATTATAACGTCTAAAAGATTAAGTCGTTTGACGGCGTGCGTTCAGGCAGTTAATGCTCTTTTATATCCAATGCAGTGGTGAGTCTCCGACATCTCTAATAATCATCAGTTTCTTCTTACTGCACTTAGCTCAGTGTGTTTGTAGAAAGTTTTTACACTTTCATAAATAAAGTTGATGTAATTCAAGTAAATATTGGCATTTCGGAAAAAAAAAGCTTTAAAAAATTACATTTTCTCCTCAAAAATTGAAGTGTTCTTAATGCAATGAAAATTACATGTGCCATAGAGAACTGATGAGTAGAACATGAGTGTTAAAAAAAAGTCAGTAAAAATATAATCAATCAAAATAAAATTTGAAGTCTCGCATAAAAAAAATATTGTTATAAAAGTATTTGTATAGTATTTTAATAATTAGAGTAGCTTATGTACCTATATATGTAGTGTTTCTAAACCATGGTTTGTCCTGACCACTTTGCTAGTTCGTGGGATTTTATGAAAACAAAAACTGATAGAATATTCATACGTAAATGATAATGGTTTTTACTTTGTACAAGAATTTTAGTGGTTTGCAACAATTTAGGCAGACAGCGAAAAGGTTGAGAAACAGTTCTACACCCTCTAACGTTCAAACTGGATAAAATCCCTGTAACTAGAAGTGTTTTAGTGCAAATGGTTTAATAAAAAAAATCCAAATTATAAAGTTAGGAGTGTTTTTTTCTAACTTTTATAATTATCATTTTGTTGGTGTTGCACACATGTATGCATATCTATAATAGCTTTTATAAGATGGTGAGATAATGTTGTTATTAAATTTGAGCATTTTATTGTTTTATGAAATAAAATATTTATACACACACACATTTATGCAATGGTAGTTATAACTGATTTTCTTAACTCTGTACGTTGAAAAATTCAGCTAGCTATTCAATAATGCTACTCAGAATTTTACACATAATCACTGAAAGTTTGAATATTTGTCTTTCGTATAGTTTGAAATAATGAAATAATTCATTTGCTAAAGGTTAAATTTGCTTTTGGTTATTCAATAAATACAATTTGTTTGGTTTTCTTTCCTCTCCCTCTGTCAGGATTAAAAGTCAAGATCTGAAACACTTTATTTCAAGAATTTATTGACCACTAACTATTGATTGGAGTAAAACCAATTTCTTGTGTTTTTCATCAGGTCACTTATTGAGGGCTCGGCATGGCTAGGTGGCTAGGGTGCTTGATTCGCAATCTAAGGGTTGCGGGTTTGAATCCCTGCATGCCCTTTCAGCCATGGAGGTGTTATAATGTGACGGTCAATCTCAATATTCATTGGTAAAAGAGTAGCCCAAGACTTGGTGGTGGGTAGTGATGACTAGCTGCCTTCTCTCTAGTCTTTCACTGCTAAATTGGGGACGGCTAGTGCAGATAGCCCTCGTGTAGCTTTGTTGTGAGATTCAAAACCATTTATTGTTACCTATTTTGTATAAAGCATGTAAAATCTTAAGTCTTATTTTAGATATGTTTGTCTTGTTTCATATTTCCATGAATATTTAATAGAGTAAGTTCCATTTTCAGAACAAATAACCAAAAATAAATATTTTTG